ACATGTATCGTGGTATGTACACCTTATGTTATCTCCTCAATCCGTGATTATGTTTACTTGTGACTGGTCAATGAACCTCAAATTAACATGTAGTAAGGTTGTAATTCCTCTCCTTGTGACAACACACCTGTTACCCGGACTGGAGTTTAACCCAATCAAACACCTCCGCGAGTGTTAACGTATTCTTCCTTAAGTTGTTCGTCATTTAATGAAGCGTTAAAATCTCTTCACCTGGAGTTCATAAAGAATAAAAGTGCAAATAGTGTATGTGCTACTTATAAAGTTTCAACGACTATTTCTAAACCAGGCCCTATTGGGGTTTTTTCACGTATTGTGTATGTTATGAAACATATTGGAGAAGTATTTCTAATAAATGATTTAAAAAATCACTCATTTCTTATCAATATGTTCTGCAGTATACTATTATGTGATTCTTCCATATTCATACTGGCATATACTCCATTCTATCGAACACTTTTACACGTAAATCTAATGTGGTCTTCTGTTCGACATTGACGGCTAGTACGTATACGTTGGGAAATAGTGAAGGATTCATTAGAATGTCGACAGACTATTGCTCTGAAAATGGCCAATTGTCCTGAGGTAAACTCAGATATATCACGTATTAAGGAAGTCAATAAATAACACCTCTGTCATTATATTTCATTGCCAATATTACCACCTGGAAATCATCAACTAATTATACGAAGGCCAAAGTTCTTCGATTAATCCTGAGCCCGTCTTCAAGAAACCATTCTCATGTTCAAGCATGAATTTTGTGCTCAAGCCAACTTTCTTGTAATTCTTTAATCATATAATACGGTCAAAAAATCAAGCTATCGCATTGAAAACAGGTTTCAGCTGTCTTCCATATCTTTGACAAAATGTATTTTTTTAATGATTTATCACAAAAACAAGATATTGGGTTGGAGCACAAAATCCGAGTTTGAGCCGAGAATTGTTTCATGAATACGGGCCTTGGTATTCCTGTAACCGTTTTTATGCTCATGCATGGGTTATGTGCTCAAATAAACTTTCTTTAAACTTTCTTAAATTATGAGACAAGGTAAAAAGTAGTGTAAGTATCGCAAAAAAGGATTCTACTTTAAATCTCTCGAAAATTCTTCTTAATCACAGACAAAATGTGAAACTTAATCAAGTTATCGCCGGAAGATAAAGTATGATAATAGTTTCATGAATAAGGGCCCTGAAGTGCGATCTTTATTTATTCCCGAATCAGTTTTGCAATATTTATATTTTTATAGCATTAATAAGACAGTCTTAAACATACACATCCCCCCTTGTCGAAAAAGATTAAGATTTTATAATAAAAAAATACACATATTTTTTGGTGTTATAACAAAACCAAAAGAATATATAATTTGATTCATTATCATGCACATCGAAGTGCTTCCGTATTATCCAGTCAATAATGTTTTCAATAATGCTAACCGGTCTTGTTACCGCAAATTTTTGATTTATTCTAAATATCCATTCCTTCCGCTTACATGTTTATCTAAAGAAACGAAACTCTATCACACACAAACCATAACCACTCGACTTTATCTTTACTGATACAAAATTTACTTTAAATGATATATTGTAGCAGCATATTAATATGTAGGGAAATGAAACAAAGTCGTGACCATGCTCTGATTTGTCTTTCAATCACATTCTGTGAAAGGATCGACCGGCATTAAATTTCTTCTAAATCATTGGATTTTGGAATAATAATATACAGGATCTTTTTTGTCTTTAATGTAATGACAGTAACGTGTGGTTTACACATCTAAATGGGTCGTTGAATGATAGGACAAGGCATTCTCAACGTTTGAAATTTCTGTTGATTTATTTTCGTGTTTTCTTAGACATTTTGTAAGCAAAATCAATCATGACAGATAATTGTGTATTGGGTAATACTATGGTATATGTATACGATATTGGTAGACCAACATTGCAATACGGTATACGAGTCTTACGAATCTTGGGTGGCCAGGTGGCGCAGTGGATAGCGCACTCGCCCTTCTACAAGACGTCAGGGGTTCGATTGAAAAGGTATGTGGTCACCTACCCGTCCACGTTGGTTTTCTGCGGATACTCCTGTTTGTTCCCACATTAAGACCCCCTATTCGCTAACGTCCGGCCAACAAGAGTGATTAGTATAAGTATATATACCTTGTTTCATAATTGTTGTAAAATAAATAAAGTTTATATTCATTTCATACGAATTTTAATCTCTTGTAATATACCAGAATGAAACTCTTCTCCCACTATTAACTAACATCAGTACTACATTCATTGTTTGACGGTTTCCACGAGTCTTAAAGGCGTAGTTAATTGAAAACGTAATGCAAGTTAATCAAGGCGTACATGCGGACATTGAATCTTACAGGAAATAAATGATATAATATACAAAAATGTACGGTACATTAACTAAACTCAAATGTAATGTGCGTACTCATCAAAATGCAAATCACAATGTTTCACAATGAAATAACCCCAATTTATCATATAAACGCAGGCTGCTATGACGTGTTATAATACATTTTCAATACGTATGTGTGTGATATCAACCAGAAGACAAACCTGTTATGTATTCCATTATACAACCCGGTCCCGTTATGTATGTGCCATGTATTATTAAAAAAACACCGCTAATGTTGTTTATTCAACTTTTATTAATCCCGCTAAAACTCGTTTAAAAAAAAAATTAATGTCGTTTAATCAACTTTAAGCAATCTCGCTAAAGCTCGTTTCATAAAAGAAATGTGAAATTTTGGATGGTCATCTTGTCGGGCAAAACAACACAAAGAAGTTTTTAGACTTTACTGTAGACTACAAAATGCGGATACAGATATTGATCTACATAAGGTGTATATCAGGTGGTCATCTAGGAGAAGGAACTCGTGGGAAGGGCGTGTCCGCAATTTAGGAAACAAACTTAAGGTATTAAATATACTTAACACTTGCGTATCTGTTAAAACCAAACTACGTATAATTACCGGTTCCATTAACGGGAATGACGAAACTTTTTGGTTCTCGAAATCATGCAACGACAGTATTGCAAGCAGCAAACCAAGAACATACAGAAGATATAAAAAAGACAAGATAACGGAACATTATATAACGTCACTTATACACGTCACTATCGGAGCCACCTCGCTTAACTCAGACTCGGTCGTCTCCCCTTAATGTTGGAAACTGGACGCTACAGTAAGTTGCCAGTAGAGCAAAGGAAATGCCCTTTCTGGTTAAAACACAGTTGAAGATGAGTTTCATTTCCTTTGTGACTGTCCTGTGTATAGTGATATAAGATATGATCTATTAAAAAACGAAGTGAACTCCTTTAGTTATTTTAATGAACTTACTTCAACTGAAAAGTTGTTTTATTTATTGCAGGATAATGCGCTTCAATTTTCGCTTTCTAAAACCATTTATTCTAAGATGAGACGGAGGCGGTCGCTTTTAAATGTGTAAATATACAATTGTAAATTATAATGTATCGCAATATTGATTTAATTGTAATGTGATGAAGAAAGAAATGTGATTCTACTATTCTATCATTTTTTTTTACATGTAATACTCTATGAGGATATTTAATATGCACATATGCTAGGTCTTCACTTTCATTTCACACATGATGTGCATCCAAATAGTTATAAATGTCTTAAAAGCCGATATCGGCTGGGCATCTTTTATAAACTAGCTGTATATGATGTTTTATGAATGATTGTTTGTGAATTCAATGATGCATGACTATATAATAAAATATTGATTGATTGATTGATATGAAAAGAGCATTACGGACGACAGGTGCGAGACGGGCAGAGTCGACTTCGTTCATATGTACTGACTGTTCAGGCTAAAGGACCAGGCAATATCTATGAACAATTGGAAGTACTGTATGCATCGTCGTTGATGATATCTTCATTTCTAGCTTTCAAGCAGTGTTTTTATAGACTGTATCTCATAGTCACCATTGTTTTCCTACTATATGAGTATATCTAGTCCCATCCACTTTTCTAAGTTCTGCTTAAAACTTGCGTGGACACTCGTTCACCTCCTCTGAACCTTCTTGACCCTAATTAATCGTCAACGCTTCCGGCATTCCGTTCTGTTAAATAAGTTTGAAGTGAATTCACTGCAGTCTTTATAACAGCTTTTGTATTTAAGCTACGTTTAGCGTTCAAAATCTGCTGTAACTCCTCTTTGCAACAAAAAAACGACTGTCATCGGTGGCCATTTTCACTGTTGTCTTTTGGTTCTGAAAATGTGACGTCACGAGCGTTCCATTACATTTAACCGTTAAAGAGGGACGTTGTTTGATGGCTTTTTTTGAAAACGCCATTTATCTGCTCATATCCTTTTGAATTACCAAATAACAGCCGCTAAATAGACCATCCAATTCCGGTGTGATATCTAATTATTGAGTTTTCCCAGTTAAAAGAGGTTACATAGTTATGAAAAGAATTCAGGTGCAAAACAAGTTTACGACTATCTACCCACAGCAATACCATCAGTGACGTCATCAATTGATAACGTGTATCCGACATAAGCCTGCCGCTCGTCGTCGTCCTCATCGCCTTCAGCGATTTATCTTCCCGATTGAAAAATAAATCTACGTGGGATGCGTATTACTGCGAACCAAACCTGGGGGCTCCTGGCAACAACAGGTGTAATGTGAACAATTCCGCGTACACTAGGCCAGCTTTACAACTTATTATACTTATTACAATGTATCTGTTAAACTGATACTAATTATAAACATCCTCGTGTGTTTACGGACAAGTCCATACCCCAGGCCTGACAATGTGCTGGCTAATAGTACCATATGTTCAATAGAAACGATTCCACGAACAACATTAAAATACACGATTTTAATCTTCTATTTAATTTCAATATCTGAAATCAGAAATGGCCTATCGATTCTATCTTGCTTAAACCTATAAAAGTCAGGTAATTTCCTCAATATACACATATTGTAAAAACATGATGAAGGGAGTTCTTTTACTGCTAGCTTTCTGTCAGACGGTGTGGGGACACGGGCGAATGCTTGAGCCCCCCGGGCGGTCCTCAGTGTGGCGTTTTTACCCATGGGATGACCGCTTTGTACCCAACTATAACGACATGGAGTTGTTCTGTGGAGGGTTTTCGGTAAGTTTATACATTCTTTATGGCACAGAAGTTCATGGTTCCACTCCGTGTGTTAGGTCGCGGAATCGAACCCTGATATCTTTTCATGATAAAGGGATTGTGTAGTTCTGATTTATTTTGTAAATCCTTCCTTTATTTGGAGAACGGGCATGCATTTGGATGAGCAAATTAAATACTCATAAGTACTCGGCACGGACTGAAATACGTAGACTGTGCATTAATCAAGAATAGATATTAAATTTCATGGAATATAAAACAGCACCTCAAAGAAGAAAACATGGCAGAAGACGACTCGGGATGTCGATCATTAGATGTACGGGAAGCGATGTGGTACAATAGCTGAATACGAGATTCTGATCAAGAAGATTATTTAGGACTTTGGTAAAAATAGAAGATTTATATGATTTATACATTTAATTCATATACTAGTAGTGAACTTCCAAGCGTAACAACAAACATCTGTGGTAGATAGTATAAGTCCTATATACGCCAAATTCACTCCTACCCTCCGAAAAAAAATGTTTCTCTTTTATGTCCTAAATACGCTTGTATTTTCTGATTTTTACAAACAAAGAACTACTAGTTAATGGAACAGCTCTTCGTTATTTGGAGGCGACTGAAAAACCTTTTAAAAAGTGGCTAGTGGCGTGGTGCCAGCATTAAGAAAGATTGGACATTCTGTACAAAATCACCAAATTTTGTTTGTATTAGTACATACCAATGCCTTTACTTGTACACCACTTAGATTTTCCTAATTTGCTCCTGAACTTACACTTTGTGAAGCAAGGTATACAATTACATTGCTTTGATTATGATGAGGGGATTCTATCCACCAAAGTAATATAGGGAGCTAAAGGTGTTTTACATGGGGAGCCCCCATCACCACCACGACCCCCAAACACGTTTTAAGCACGTGCCGCCTTCAAATAAATATTGTTTAGCTGTTATTCAAAATACCTTAATAAGAACTTCACCACTGTGACCAGTCTGGTTTTGGAAAAAAACAACTTCTGCTAGACAGATTAATTCAGGTGACTGGCAGGTGTAATTTGCTCTAAAACCAGACAGTGTAAGAAAACAAGGTGACAGTGATGAATCGGTCGGAACAATTATTAATCTGCTTTTGTTGGTTCTAGATTTTCGTTACACAGTTTTAAAATGTTTGACAAAAAAACACGATCTGAAAGTAATAAAAATATTAAATGGCAGCTTGCTTTAGTTTGCATTATATCTTAACAAAATGCAAACATGATGATAGCATACCAACACATTGTACCAGGTTTGGTCATACCAACACATTGTACCAGGTTTGGTCATACCAACACCTTGTACCAGGTCTGGTCATACCAACACATTGTACCAGGTTTGGTCATACCAACACATTGTACCAGGTCAGGTCATACCAACACATTGTACCAGGTTTGGTAATACCAACACATTGTACCAGGTTTGGTAATACCAACACATTGTACCAGGTTTGGTCATTATACATAGAGTTAGTTTGTGTGTAAACAGCACAAAGTAATTTACACTGACGGTATGTACATTAGTCTGAAACAGTTATCTCATATCATTTCAAATATATTTGTCTGTTGCAATTAACAATAGGATTGGGCACAGGCATTGCCTTTAACAACTCTTGCCATATAGAAAGACACACATTTCTTATATATACTGCATGTAAATTGAAGATGTAATATATTAAGTTTAGGTAGTACACTGAAGGGTAGGCTGAACCAATAAGCCAGCTTTATATATATGTACATAGCAGTCTAATTGGAATATCAGGAATATCAGAGATTTTAACAGGGTAGATATAGTGTTTGTTTAGGGCACTTCAAAGTCACTACACACAGTGCCATATTAACCAGTTACACAAGGATTGCAGGCAATTAATGGTACATAATATAATATGTGGTACAATATGGCTAAAATCTTCTAGATTTTTCTATATCATCCAGGACAGAAGTGAGAACAAATATAGTTAGTTTGTACTATATGCGCGTCAATTAGGCAGGATGCCAGTCCATGTGGGGTCTGCATTTGTTCCAGTTGGCGTTCTTGTTGGCTATGAGTGTTGGCAATAGAGTTTTACCTTAGGTATTAATGTACAGTTAGCCAATAATGTATCCTTTAGTATGGTTAGCTACCATAAACAATGTAGGTTTTAAATAAGGTAGATAAATAAGTAGAAATTTGACCGAAATAACTGATGTTTTACAGATATTGTAACTCGGCTAAATCTCTGACAGGGTTGACATCGCCACCATACATTGAGAGATTGAATCTCAATCTGATTATAAATATACATCTGTATTTTAATCAGATTGTATCCCTCTATATATGTTATTATTGACAGAAGTTTGTCCCAAAGTGAAACACATTTGTCATCTTTCTATAGGCCAATTTCTTTACTGTCGACTGATGGTAAAGTTTTTGAATAAGCAATTTTAAAGCACTTTTACCTTTATTTTATACATCGAAGCCTTGTTTTACAGCTATAGTCATCCCACAAATTGATAATTTGGCGTTGAAAAAACAATGTTATATAAATTTATTTTTTGTTTGCGAGTAAAGCCTTCGAACGTGTTTAATATTGAAATTAAAATTCTATGGAATTTCATACGTTTGCGTATATAGTTAGATTGTATTAATAATTCCTAGTATGTAGTCTTATTTGAAGCAGGAATTCTTCAGGGATAAGTTATTGAACCATGTTTATTAAATCAGCCTTTCTTTGTTTACAGATGATAAATCACTTTTAATGTCACCAACGTCTCGTCTTCTAAATTCGAGAAATGTTGAATAGAATAGAGCTCTGGAGACGTAAATACTTGGTGAATAGAATAGATCTCTGGAGACGTAAATACTTGGTCTAACAGGGATTGGTTATTTTTAATGGTAAAAGAGCAGATAGGATATTTATTTCAAATTATGGGGACATAGTGTATGATAATGGTAAAATCTTGAATTTCATTGATTATCCTCACAATGTAGGAGTAATTTTTATTCAAGTGCTAACGTGTCTATGAGATTACACTTCTACTTCTATAATGAGAAAAGTAAAGTCGAAGTTACCAGTTTTAAAAATATGATTACAAGTTATGACACAGTTATGATAAATTTTAATCTGATAATTTGGAGCAAAGAGAAACTGTTCTATAAAAACAGTACTTCAGTCAAATGCCTGTATTCATGAGTCGTGTTATAAAACAAATCTAGAAGCGAATCTATAACCGAACAAAATCTGTTATACTTAGATAAAATGTGTAACAAAAAAACTCCTCGTCTGTTGCCTTTATTGGAGAAAATATCCATTACTCTGTAAGAAATGATAACTATGTAAGTTACTACAATTTAGACTCTCTTTTGCCATATCTGATAGTTTCAGCAGATAGTTCAGTACAATCACTATATTAGCACCAAACTTGACGTCACCTTCACTTATCTATTTATAAGGCTGATAAATTGTAAATTGAATATGTTGCATATATAGCTCAGGTTTTTTTCCAGAGCAAGTGTTGTTTATAGAGCAACTTATCATTGTAGATATCCATGTGAAAATGTTAATTACGAACATTTAGAAATGCAATATTCATTCAGCATAGACTTTGACATAAAATAGTATTTTATTAAATTATTTTGCTTTTTCTCGTAACAATATATACGGTATAAATGTATTTTAGGAAAAGGCATTAATAACTTATATGATTGGTGCTTCATCCATTGCTCTACGTTTGGCAAAAGTCGATTTGAATTAGAATTTGTACCTAAGTATGATATCTGCCTTAAAACTTCGGTGTGCTGTGGTGATAACTAGGGCATCGACTAACATGTATCCACTTAGACAAATCTAGCACTAATCCAATGGATGATGTACTTTTTTTTCTTTTTTTTAGTAAATGAAATTAACATACAAATGAAATCAACATACAAATGAAATCAACATACAAATGAAATAAACATACACATGAAATCAACATACAAATGAAATCAATATACCAATGAAATTAACATACCAATGAAATCAACATACCAGTGAAATCAACATACAAATTAAATGAACATACAAATGAAATTAACATACGAATGAAATTAACATACAAATGAAATCAACATACAAATGAAATCAACATACAAATGAAATTAACATACACATTAAATCAACATACACATGAAATGAACATACAAATGAAATGAACATACAATTGAAATCAACATACAAATGAAATTAACATACAAATGAAATCAACATACAAACGAAATTAACATACAAATAAAATTAACATACAAATAAAATTAACATACAAATGAAATCAATATTTGACACAGTTGCAAGTCGCATTCATCGTAAGTTCAGCGGAACATTTTGATCGTGAGCTTCATACATGTAGGTTTAAGTAGAACAAGAGGTTAAATAAAAACATCCTTTTTTGCTTGTTATGTATGTAATAAAACCACCTGTTAATTCCTTATATCTATACATCTCTAATCAAGTGTATGAATTTTTTTATTTTTTTTACATGTACAATAGCATCGTGAACACCCTTTCAGGCAGGGATTATATTGTATTCATATATATGAAGTTATTTATTCGGAACTTATCGAATCTATATTTATGTTACATATCACGATTCTTTTGAAAGTAAAAGCCCTCTAAGTCTGTTTTATATAGGTATTGAACGCATTTATAAACATATGTAATCCTTTGTGGAAACTGAGGTTTAAATTCATGAGTTGGTTTATTCCGTGACGGTAAAACGTATCACGGACAATGCTGTCGTAACACACTGTTACAATGTCAGTCTGTCACATTAATGTTCATCTCTCTCTAGCACGAAATACAGCAAACTAGAGTACTTAAATTAAGTCTATTTGTCCCTTAAGCAGTTAACATTTACTCTTCTGAGGTTCAAATTAACTCCAGGTCTGATTTTTATCAGGTTTTTGTAACATTCAGAAAATCATGATCAACTTTTACAACAATCTTTTCCAAGCGTTAGATCTGCAAACATTGGTAAACAAAAATGAGTGTTTTTCATTAAAAGATATCTTATACGTTTTGACAGTTTTAATCATTCATTTCATTACAAATTGAGGACATGTCATCATTGTTGAATCTCTCTTCTCCAGACAATGATGAGTAATGGCGGGAAATGTGGTACGTGTGGTGACCCATACAACGGGGAGCGTGAAAATGAGGCTGGCGGCAAATACGCAACTGGGTTCATTGTCCAGAACTACGAAAAAGGGCAGATAATCGATGTCACTATTGATCTCACAACTTCACACATGGGGTTCTTCGAGTTCAAAATATGTGCCAACAATGACGTAACAACACCAGTAACTCAGGACTGTTTGGATAAGCATGTTCTGAAATTTACAAACGGGGATGTTAAATGGCCGATAACAACTACTGGGTTTTACCATCTCAAGCTTCAGTTGCCGCCGGATATGACGTGTGATCAATGCGTCCTTCAGTGGCACTATAAAGCAGGTAAGATGGTTATATATGAAAGGTCGTTATTTACGACATAGGATATGCAAACTTAATCAAAATTCGTCTTATTCGGTGATTAAATTACATAAAAAGATATCCTTTAATATTTTTCTTATGAATTATATTATATTATGAATAACATGACGTCACAATAAAAATCTTTTCACGGAATTCAGATATCAACAGACACCAATGGACATGCTGTTAAAATGAAACAATTACAATTTCCATCTCGTGTTGGCAGGTAACAATTGGGGCGTGGATGAAATAACCGGAGAAGGGTGTCTCGGATGTGGTGACCAGGAAACCTTTATTAACTGTGCAGACGTTAGCATATCCGGTACTGGAGGTCAAACTTCCGGACCACCACCCCAACAGACGACTACAACTAAGGAACCAACACCCCCAGCACAGACAACTGCACCGCTAAGTCCAGAATCCACTTCCATCTCATCACCAATCACGACACTGTTGCCAGGTAGTAGCTCGTGCCTGGCTGGTTACAGGACGCGTTGCCGGGGTGAGGGAGTATTTGACGAGTGTTGTAACACTCTCTGCCACAATCACGCCTGCAATCCGGCCTTTTGTACGTGCGACTGTGTTCCGGATATGACGTGTGAAGGCATAGGTCCCTTAAGGAACTTGCTATTTGCCGATGAGTATTGTTATCATCACTGTCTGGGAGGCTGTCCCGAGTTAAGTAACAGTTGCTTATGTCGCTTGAATTAGACAAACTATTCAAAAGCACGTATATTATGTATACATATGTATATGATGCTGCATAACTCTTGACACAGTTACCATAACACCTGTCATTGAAAGAAACCATGTAATATACTCAATCTATAATCAAAACATGTTGTTTGTTGTTATTTTCTGCTACCAATAGTAATAACAATACTTTTTTTCCAAATACTGCAAAGTCCAGTGAAAGCACTGCATAGTCAACGCCACTGTACGGTCTGAATATGGAAATATATTATCTAATTCTTTTTCATAGAAAAGAATAAATCAGGTCACTATTATATTTAATATCACTTGAAAAATGGTGTCCGAAATACAACGTGGCGAATGCCTATATCAACTTGAACATCAATACAGGCAGTCATCCTCCAGGCAAATTGTTAAAATGGGCGAAGTATTACGTACCTATTACATCCTCGATACTCCAAGGTTTACAATCACTTCTGATATCTGGTCCCCTGGAGTATGTCATAGCAGAATTAAATAATTGATTGGTCTCAGGAAAACAACTGACCGATCGCTAGGCTGATCCCTGTCCTTTGAAGGTTACAGAGGAACAACACCGAGTTCAAATTCCCGTCAGGTTTACCGTTACGCGACTACGAGATTATTTTGATGTACATAAAAAGGCTCAAACTAACTTGTCTTTTTGTCTTATTCACAAAACTTCCACAGAGCCGTCTGTTTTGCTTTAATATATTCCAGGTGTGAGAGAGCAAAATTGAGAGTAACCCCTGGAGTATCGATGATGTACATGTACCTATTATAGCTACGCGTTCGATATTTTCTGTTCATGAAGAGACTGTAACACACATTAATGTATCCGAGCATTAGTTTAAGTAGACAGCTTATATATGTGTACAAATGAACAATTCAACATACAGCTCTTTTACTTGTTGTATTTTTTAAGTTTTATACAATGCGTTTTAACACCATCGATGAATCGGAAGTGGACGAAATGGCAATATGTTTAAATAAAAATTACCTTCTATGGCCGTCCGCATTGACATACTAAATTTCCAAAACAAAAGTGCTTCCTTCTTCGTATTTGAAGCCCACATTGTTCTTTCCTTTTTCTCTGCATGATTGATGATGTAGGTTGCCTATCATTTATTAACACTTACTCAGTCTGTTTATCAAAGATAACAGCATTGCACACGTCCAACGGAAGCAAGTCAATACTAGTGGAATATCACAAGGCAGCGTACAGGGACCGATATTGTTTGAGAATAAAGAGAAAGATCACAATCGAAAAATCTAAATAGGCACGCTTATCGAAGCGTAGTTTTAAGAAGTCTCTTTTCATTTTGATTTGAGCGAAGATTACGGAAATTGACTGGGGTAGAAGAGCCTGTAGTTTCCGTATTTCAAGCTCGGAAGGGTATATAAGATCGACGCGGTCAATAAAATTCTTGTAATTTACAGAAATCATACTGTCGATATATTTGAATGTTAAATTGAAAGAATTGCAATTGGATAGATTTTTGTCTTGATTGCATATCAATAAATTTATCCTCTTATGAACACCAAAACAGTCGGCCAGACGAGGGCACAGTTTCTTCCCATATGAATGCCTACAGTCAGCTTACTGGTGGAAAGTCTTGCCACTGGGCTTGATAACGAACTCAACCAGGAACTCAATTATTCATTTTAGCCTTTGAAGTGCTTTTCAGAAAATATGCTCCAAAATAATTTGCAATCATATATTTCTATCGCTGTTTGACCTTCTTTTTGAGAAGAACCCTTTCATAATAAGAAAACGAATTAAAGGCGTTCCTCCTATTTGGTATGAGAAATTGTTGTGTTAAGGGTCTGTCATGTATCCGCACCGTTCCGTGCTCCATTCCATTCCGTGTGGAACTCCTCTGTTTCTGAATACCAATAAAGTCATTACTGTGTTGATTCACAAGATGGCCTCTTGTGTTGTTATTGAACCCCACGACAGATTCGGTAACACGTCGGTAAGACACTACAGGGTCAAAAAGTAAAAAAGCTTGATAGAAAAAACATATTAAAGAGGAGGATGTTCAAGGTCGATAAGATGTTCCTTTGAAATCTTCAAATTCCACAATCCAATTATTCCACTTACCGAACAGTCACAATACGGCAGTAACCCTGTTTAAATTGTACTAGGTTTGCATAAAGGCCTGGTTGAGTATCAAGATGAACCCGCGATAAAACGTTATTTGTAAGGATTCTGGCAAAATTCCACAGTCCAATACAGACGACGTACAAGTCCGTATCCTTATCCATTAGTGGGTATTCAGAAAGATTGTAAAAGAGAAGCGTGATTGATGCCACTGATGGATAAGGATACGGACCTGTACGTCGTCTGTATTGGACAGTGGAATTTTGCCAGAATCCTTACAAATAACGTTTTATCGCGGGCTCATCTTGATATTCAACCAGGCCGACTTTTTTGGTGTTCATAAGAGGATAAATTTATTGATATGCAATCAGGACAAAAAACCTTAGCCACTTGCAATTCTTTCAATTTAACATTCAAATATATCTATCGACAGTATGCTGTCTGTAAATTACAAGAATTTTATTGACCGCGTCGATCTTATATACCCTTCCGAGCTTGAAATACGGAAACTACAGGCTCTTCTACCCCAGTCACGTTCCGTAATCTTTGCTCAAATCAAAATGAAAAGACACCTCTTAAAACTACGCGTCGATAAGCGTGACTATTTAGATTTTCCGATTGTGATCTTTCTCTTTCTTGACAGTAACAACCCAGTTTTCAATGTTGATTCGGTCTGTATTTAAGAGTTTGTGGCAAGCATAACGTTATAACTTCAAGACTTCATCATGATATCAAAGATGTAGACTGCTGACGGACAAAGTTACAACACATGTTTTTAAAGATGCAGCTTAATGAAGAATTACTATTGACAAGGGTGCGTGATATAAGGGTTAATGTTCATGATTATGTTTATTAGTGTCGTTTTGTTGTCACTTCACCAGTTCTCGCTTTATGGACGTGACTATCTAGGATTTGACCTATATTTGATACAGAAGACATTTACCCTTCCGGAACACCTGGTCTTGTTTCATTGTATTTTTTCAATGGTCGCCATGCCTTTATTCAAATTTTGCCCTTTTATCGATTTTGAGTTCACACTTCGTTTACGCTTCGGTATTCTCCATTATTTTAAGGACCACTCTCCTACCAGTAAGAGTTTTGATTTAGTTTATATGTTTTTGGATAAAAGGGAGTGGTTATTCTACTTTAAAATCATTTCATAAATGTTGCCGTCAGTGGAAATGAGTTTAAATATCCTGCTAACATAAAACGCACTGGTACACTTATCAACGGATTTTATTAAACTTTAAAACTGCTGACGTTAAACTAGAAGAAAACAGCTAATTTTTCAGCAAATTGCTCAAGTGCCTATACAAGATTTATATCCCAGCTACGCCCCTGCATCAAGCATCTGCTTTAAGATAAAATTGATTCAATCTTTATGTTAATGCTGTAAAATTATTTCATAACTTTGCTTAAACTCCCAAACAATAAATTGAAAACATATTGCAATATATTGCCATTTCAAATATACCCGATGGCTGGCTGATGGTACAGTGAAGCGCCTACAGGTGTACATCAGTTTACAGTTCGTAGGCTTTGTAAATCTGCAGCATTTTCTGGTTTGTATAGCAACCATTCTTTGGAAGCTACATATGTAACAAGATTGTATCATGCTGGTGTGGACGACAAACTAGTGGCGGAGAAAACGGGTCATAATCCTGCTGCTGTGCCCTCATATAAAAGGACGAATGATGAACATATGGCTAATGTCAGTTCCTTAATATAATTGCAAAGTAAGACGGATCAAAGTGTTTTATAGCCAAAGAAACAAAACAAATTGTGTCAATGGAAAATTCGAGTGCACAGGAAATAAGTGTAAATACTGGAAATGTGTCTTTTACCATGAATTTCTGATACATATAAAATAATGTGTTGAAGTCAAGAAAACGTGAAATAACACCAACATATTTTAACAATGGATAATTTGGTACAGGGAAAATTAAAAGAAATCGTGAAGTTATGGAATTCAGTTGGTCTACATTTGAAGACTTTGGAATATTTACTAGCTTGTTCCTGTTTTATGAATTGTTTTCGTCAATAAACCTTTATTTTGGTAGTTGTTAATTGCTTTGTATTATATCCAGTAGAATGTTGAGGTATCGGCTTTGGCTGTAAAATAATTTACCTGTAGCTGGACAATAAGTTACCTGTAGCTGTACAAAAGTTACCTGTAGCTGTACAATAAGTTACCTGTAGCTGTACAATAAATTACCTTTAGCTGTACAAAAAATTACCTGTAGCTGAACAATAAGTTACCTTTAGTTGTACAATAAGTTACCTGTAGCTGGACAACAAGTTACCTGTAGCTGGACAATAAGTTACATGTAGCTGTACAATAAAGTACATGTAGCTGTACAATAAGTTACCTGTAGCTGTACAATTAGATTCCTGTAGCTGTACAATAAGTTATATGTATCTGTACAATAAGTTACCTGTAGCTGGACAATTAGTTACCTGTAGTTGTACAATAAGTTACATGTAGATGTACAATAAGTTACCTGTAGCTGTACAATAAGTTACCTGTAATTGTACGATAAGTTACCTGTAGTTGTACAATAAGTTACCTGTAGCTGTACACTAAAGTTACATGTAGTTGTACAATAAGTTACATGTAGCTGTACAATAATGTACCTGTAGCTGTACAATAAGTTACCTGTAGCTGTACAATAAGTTACATGTAGCTGTACAATAGGTTACCTGTACAATAAGTTACCTGTAGCTGTACAATAAGTTACCTGTAGCTGTACATTAAGTTACCTGTAGCTGTACAATAAGTTATCTGTAGCTGTACAATAAGTTACATGTAACTGTACAATAAGTAACCTGTAGCTGTACAATAAGAAGCATACAGATCTTAGCTCATATTTTATTTAAGGTATATAACAGTGTCTGTGATGTGATGTCACTCGGATGTTGTGAATACCCTTTTTTACTACTCCAAAATTTATGAAGACTTTTTTCAAATGTCGTTAGTTTTGGCGCTTGAATCTTGCTCTCGGGAAGGGAATTTCAG